TAGTAGCAACAAGTGGCTGGCTGCATTTGAATATATATATATATATATACTTTCCCATTATATAGCAGGCAAGGTATGTGAACAGAGTGTGTCTGAATTCATAGTATTCATAAAACAGTAGGCGAAAGTACCTGGATGACCTATTACTTTTGGCGAGATTCTGAAGTGTGCATACAATGGACACTCTACTATCCCATGAGGCCACGTGAGAGGATTTGTAAATGAGAGTGAAGTGACTCAACTGACACTGGTAGGTTACATTAAAATGACCACATGGTGAATGTAGTATGTCAAGATTTAATTCATTCACAAATTATTCCGTAGAAGTACTTATTCCGAGAGTACGCGATTTTAGACACTGCCACTGTATGAATGAGTCATTGAATTATTTACTCAACAATTCATACACTCTAAAAAATGCTGGGTTAAAAAGGGACAAACCCAGCTATTGGGTTGTTTTTACCCAGCTATTGGGTTGTTTTGACTCAGCGGTTGGGTTGTTTTGAACCCAACTGCTGGGTCAAAACAACCCAATAGCCATGTTAAAAAAGTTGGATGCATCAATTAGTAGCAACAAGTGGCTGGCTGCATTTGAATATATATATATATATATACTTTCCCATTATATAGCAGGCAAGGTATGTGAACAGAGTGTGTCTGAATTCATAGTATTCATAAAACAGTAGGCGAAAGTACCTGGATGACCTATTACTTTTGGCGAGATTCTGAAGTGTGCATACAATGGACACTCTACTATCCCATGAGGCCACGTGAGAGGATTTGTAAATGAGAGTGAAGTGACTCAACTGACACTGGTAGGTTACATTAAAATGACCACATGGTGAATGTAGTATGTCAAGATTTAATTCATTCACAAATTATTCCGTAGAAGTACTTATTCCGAGAGTACGCGATTTTAGACACTGCCACTGTATGAATGAGTCATTGAATTATTTACTCAACAATTCATACACTCTAAAAAATGCTGGGTTAAAAAGGGACAAACCCAGCTATTGGGTTGTTTTTACCCAGCTATTGGGTTGTTTTGACTCAGCGGTTGGGTTGTTTTGAACCCAACTGCTGGGTCAAAACAACCCAATAGCTGGGTTTGTCCCTTTTTAACCCAGCATTTTTTAGAGTGTATGAATGCACCAATTCATTCAGCAGGGAAACACCACTTTGTGTTGCTCTGAAATAAACTGTTGGTTCTGCCTTTGATTTCATATGTCATATATTTGTTAGAAGAGCAAACACAGATAACGTCATTTTGTGTCTCATTTATATCAAACTATTAAAAAAATTATAAAAGCAGTGCATGCTGCCAGTTGTGCTGTTGGTTTGAATTCTAAATACTTGAAACGGCTTGTGTGATTGATATCTTGAATGTAGAATTCATAGAGTGCATATTGTCTATTTTAGGAATCACGAACTAACAATGCACAAAACTGCTACATAGCACTATTTATTTTTCTTGGTTACTTTCCAGTCGTCTAAATTAAGGGTAGCTAATGTATTATGAAAAAAAAGTAATTATCAATAAACAATAATATATTTATAAATTAAAATTAATATAAATTAATACATGCTGTAAAAATGCTTAGTTCTTGATACCAAATTTATTAATATTGTTAACAATTTTTGTTGTTTTTTATTGTAAAGTGCTACCTGTATAAATTAAAAATGCTTATTTCATTGATCAGATGGATACTGTCTGATCAATACATGGTTTCAGCTTTGCTAAAATATTGTAGCAGATATGATTCAATGTTTTTATGATTTGTTTTTCTTTGAAATTGCAACTGGATTTCATGTTCTCGTCTACAGAAAGGCCTCAGTATGCTTTGAGTCAACATATGTGTCAACAGATAAGCTGCGAATGATTTCTGAAATGAAATCTGACTGATGTCTTGAACCTGACTTAATGTTAGGCACAGCAGTAAACATGACTTAATTAGGCACAGCAGTAAACATGTATTTCAGCTGCGAATCTATTAAAAGCACAAGACGATAAAGACTTGAAGGTGTACGAACTGTGACTTTGGTTGTTGTGCAATTCATCAAGTAAATCGTATTGATTTGGCTGTCTCTCAGCTCCACAGCTGGTTTTCTTGGTATATTCGGGTCATTATACTATGTTTGTCAGAACATTGCTAAAATTAGGCTTATTTTCTCACAGCTGCTGCATCAACAACCGTCTGGATAGTGAAAAATGGAGCACCACTTTTCCATTTGACATTTTTACAAAAAACTCCATGCCGCTTTTTCACATTACGTAACTTGACCTCTGTGCTTTATCTGTATATCACATAACCTTCCCTGAACCTTCAGAATTTATTTATGTCGGCTGCATTTGCAATGTGCCGCCTTGTTAGAGAAACAAAGAGCTTGTTAGAGAGCTCTCAAACTCTGTCGTTCCACTCAGCTTGTAAATGCTTGTTTCGAAACCTTTAGCACTCTCTGTTCGCCACAGCACTTTCGGTTATTTCAGGGATAAAAGCGTGAAAGCACAGGAAACATCTTCTTGTGCTGTAAAGCATGAGGGTCAAAAACATCTTGGATAGTGCTTAATTGAAAACTGCGGTTTGTAATAGTGACGCATTTCTAACTTGACAGTAAGGCCTTGGTGAACTCAGTGTTGGAGCAATTAGCTTGATGTACTGACGCAAACTTACATTTTTAAATACTGTTGCATTACTGTAGCTCAGCCATCAAAATAATGTAGTTCTTATAGTAAACAGGCTAATGTTTTAGTGCTACTTTTGCTAGCAGTTTATTGTGTGTGCAGCCATTCATTTTAGTGAATCGCTCAATTTGGATGGTTTATTAGTAAAGTACTCAGGCTAAAACCTACTCTTAGGGAGGATGTTGTTAAGTTAACTTACAATGCTAGTCAAGGTTTCTTGCACCAAAATCTGTTGTATTTTAGTTTTTCTGAACTATTTTGCACAGGCTGTTTTTGCTGCTGTACCTTTAAGCCTGTAAAGCCTCACATATGATATAATAGTCAACGTTTTAAATGGAAGTTTATGGAACCTTTAGACAAGATATTTAAAATAAATCCTAAAATAGTTGTAATACCATATTTATCTAGTTAAACATTACGGGTAACATCACAATTGAGAGGGGGAAAAACACCTTTCGTTTTATTCAGAGGCTCAAACTGTGTAAAATTATGCAGTTTCTGGCAAGAAAAGGTGTTAAAAATATTTATTTAAAATATTCTGATAGCTTGTAATGTAAATTAATGTGATTATAACACACTCTCGGAAAGAAAGGTAAAAAAAAAAGCTGTTAGTGGGACGGTACCCTTTCAAAAGTTATTCCTTTTTACAGTACCTTATTTACTCCTACAGGGTGCGTTTTAGTACCTTAAAGATACATATTTGTACCCACATAATTAATACCTAAATGCTACATATTAGTACCTTTTGAAAAGGTACTACACCAGCAGGGTTGGGGAGTAACGGAATATATGTCACTTAGTTATGTATTTAAAATACAAAATATGAGTAACTATATTTCATTACAATTACATATTAAATAGGTGGTAATCAAATTACAGTTATATCTGAAAAACTCAAGATGCACAAGTAAGCAACACAATGCATTACGAGCATATGGGTGTAAACTTTTGAACAGGATGATGTGTAGATTTTATTTAAAGATATTTTTTTTTATTTAGAAAAATATTTATTCCCTTCAGAAGCTAATACTTACATGTTTCCCAGAAGACAAAATAAGTACAATTTACCCTGTTCAATTTTTATCCAATTCATAAAATAAAAACTTTTTGAATTTGAAAATCAGGGTAAATTGTACTTCTTTTGTCTTCTGAGAGACATGTAAGTATCTTCTGTAGCTTCTGAAGGGCAGTTCTAAATGAAAAAATATGATATTTAGGCAAAATAAGAAAAATTTACACATCTCCATTCTGTTCAAAAGTTTTCACCCCCCGGCTCTTAATGCATGGTTTTTCCTTCTGGAGCATCAGTGAGATTTTGAACCTTCTGTAATAGCTGCATATAAGTCACTCAGTTGTCCTCAGTGTGAAAAGAGGGATCTCAAAATCATACAGTCATTGTTGGAAAGGGTTCAAATATACAAAAATGCTGGAAAACCAAAGAATTTGTGGGACCTGAAGGATTTTTCTGAAGAACAGCTGGCAGTTTAACTGTTCAGGACAAACAAGGGACTCATGAACAACTATCACTAAACAAAAAAAACAAAAAAAAACAGCTGTGGATCATTCAGCTCATTCACGTCACAGCGTTAAGAATCAAGTGTATGTAAAATTTAGAATGGGGTCATTTTTATAAATTCAACTATTATTTTCTGTTGTGAAATATCTTATTAAAGTCAATATTAAATCAACAATAACATGCATTTTGTATTATCCCTCTTATTTTGGTAAAATAATACAATTTTGTAGACTCTGCAAGGTGTATGTAAACTTTTGGCTTCAACTGTATGTATTAAGTAAGCCTAAGCTGCTTCAGTCCAGTAAGTGTTATATAAATTACCTCTGTTATGATTTGCTAACCTCAACATCCGGGTTGTTTGCTAAATACTACGCATTCATATGTCAGTGTGCATATGGTCGTGACATCAGTCATTTTTTCTAGGACTGTCAATTTTACACAATGAAAAAATAACACAATTTAAAAAATTCTGCTTTCAGTCACGACCTGTGACCTGTACATTCTTTAACTTTCCTGTCATCAAAGCTTTAAGTGGTGTGATAAAACGAGCTAAAGTTCTGAGTGAACTTGAGGATTTGTATGTGACCTCCTACTTTGAAGCTCAGGATCTAACATCAATCAAAAAATAAACACCATGAGCACAAATGATGAAATAAGCCGCAAGAACATGTAGAGTAGACAGTCGAACATTGCTTTATCTTTAAAGAGGGGTCTTATTTTATTCACGTTAGCTTTTGTACCCATGGGGCTTTTATGTTTCTGTCACTGACTCATGTTTATTCAATAGCGTATTCTGGCGTAATGAGAATCCCACCGGTTAATTTATTTTAAAACATGCAAAGGAGTAAAAAAATTCTGACAACACCTGACGCGTGACCTTTATCTGTTTTGCATGCGTCATTAGATCCCAGCGGTTCATGATTTCGGTCTGTTCATGTCTCTCATTGTGAGCTGCTGCTGGCTTTGGGTGTCCATTCTCATGCCTGCTGCCCTTTGCATCTGGAGCCAGTGTGGAGCTGCCCATGCCAACGCCTGTCCCAAATGGTAGATTGTGTTATTTCTTCCAAAATGTCTTTTGAGAAATGTGCATGTTCTTTCTTTCGAATTGAGTATTTGTTATTTTTGGTCCATACATTGGAAGACAATAGCCACCAAAACTGTTTGGTTACCAAAAATTTTCTAAATATCTCATCCTGTTCTCATGGGAAAACGTCTCAGTTTACTTATGTAACCATGGTTCCCTGAGTAGGGAACGAGACACTGCGTCCTCTAGGGGTTGCTATGGGGAACGCCTCGTCGTGACCCGTGTCTGAAGCATACATTGAAAAAACACCAACTCGTTGGCCGGCGACAGCCATGACGTCACTACCGGTGCGAATATAGTCATTCACTTCTTCGTCTGAAGCTTGCGTCCACAGTATGGCAAGAAACCTAGAGGACGCAGTGTCTCGTTCCCTACTCAGGGAACCATGGTTACATAAGTAACCTGAGATGTTCCCTTTCATGGGAACTTCGAACTGCGTCCTCTAGGGGTCACTATGGGGAACAGTATACCCACGCCGCCATGCTGAGGGGAGTGCATGCCAGAAAACATGGCGAGCACTAAGTACCAACTCTACCCTATTGCCATGGGAATTGCCCCTGGGACATTTAGACGGCTGTCAGTGACATTATTCCCTACGGCCAAAGGCCTAGGCTACATACCCCAAAAAAACTTACCTGTTAGGGCCAGACTCCTGGGCCCGGGGTAGAGCTCAAGGCTTGGAATCAGAAACAGATTCCTTTAAGGGAATACGACCAAGAGCCTAGAATCATACTAGTCTTGGCCTGTCACAC